GGGGGTGGGGGTGGGGGACTCCTGGGAGGCCAGAAGCTGTGTGGTATGGAGACACCCCACAGCCTGAGAAATCAGGGAACTCCCCACAGATATGACCTTAGAGGGGTGAGGTGGCTTCTACATTGTGAGCTTACTCCTGTGTCCTTCATTCCACCCTGACTCTGATTTTACCCCAGGGTCAGAATAGGAAAGTGGCATGCCCAAAGGCATATGGCAGCTTCCAGTAGCTAAGGGTGGGAAAACCCCTGAATAATTTCCTATTGAGAACCAAGCTGTCTGATGAGGGTGAGAGGCAAGAAGAATTATTTGGGGACAGGGAAGGGCACCGTGTCCCCACTGCAGGTCACTCTCAGCACAGTGGCTCCCCCTGTTATAACACACTAAGGGACGGGCGTCCTGACAGGCTCTCTGTCTCGGGCCACAATAGGAGAGCCACACTGCTGCCAGGCGCTGCCTGGACTGCTTAGCAGGATTCAGATTGGGGGGGGGTCTTCTGGAGTGTTGAGCTCCAGGGTTAGGAGTAGACCTCCAGGCTCCTGTTCTCCAAGCACTTCCTGGTGCACAGACAGACAAGTCTCTGGGAAGATTCCAGGAGGGAAGAACATGAGGGCTAAAACCCCTGAGAGCCCAGTTCCCAGTGGAGGCCCTGCATCTTCACCAAACGTCCCAGGAGGCTGAGGAGCGGTGTCAGGCCCTCAGCAAATACAGGTCCTGGCAGAATCTGACTTCTGGAAAAGGAAAGATGCTGGAGTAGTAGAGGCCACGTACAGCAGCCCCCATGGCCTCCTGTCCACTGTGGCCCCTTTCTCCCCAGCTGCTGCCAACGCAGACAATGCCCCCATTGTTCTGGGACTCTGAGAATCTGTGCGACTATGTGTCTGTTCACTGTGTGTGACTTTGTATGGCTTTGTGATTGTGTGTGTGTGAGACCCTAAGTGGGTACATTTGTTGTTGTGTGTGAGTCTGCGTTTTTGTTTGGTTCTTCATATCCAAGCGTTAGAGACCTTTGGTGACAGCTGATGACTCTGATTTGTGTGTGGATACTTGGCCTTCCTTGAGAATGTGTGTTAGTGACTATGTCTGATTGTGATGGGGTATGTGGCTGAACGTGTGTGAGGCTGAGGAAATATCTGTAAGTGTAGAGACTGAAAAGTGGCTTTTGGGGCTGGAGAGATGGCTCAGTGGTTAAGAGCACTAGCTGCTCTTCCAGAGGACCTGGGTTCAATTCCCAGCACCCACATGGCAGCTTGTAACTGTCTGTATCTACAGTTCCGGGGGATCTGACACCTTCATACCACTGCACATAAAATAAAGTTAAATAAATTATAAAAAAAAGTGGCTATTTTGTGAAACTGTTCCTAGGGGGCTGTGTGCCTCTTTGGGCCACTGAGGCTATGGTGGACTGTCCTCGTAACTTGATACAACCTGGAGGCGTCACTTGAGTAGGGAGAGCCTCGATGGATGAATTGCCTACATCAGACTGGCCTGAGAGGGTCATCCCACTGAGAGCAGTACCAGCCCTTAGCAGGTGGTCCTGAGCTGTGTAAGAAAGCTAACCAAGGGGACTGGACAGATGGCTCAGCAGTTAGGAGCACCGGCTGCTCTTCCAGAGGACCCAGGTTCAGTTCCTAGCATACCTACATAGCAGCTCACACATGTCTGTAACTCCAGTTCCGGGCCTTCTGACACCCTCACACAGGCATACATGCAGACAAAAAACACCAATGAACATTAAATAAATTATGTATTTAAAAGAAAGAAAGGAAGAAAGAAAGGAAGAAAGGAAGAAAGGAAGGAAGAAAGGAAGAAAGAAAGAAAGAAAGAAAGAAAGAAAGAAAGAAAGAAAGAAAGAAAAAAAGAAAAAGCTAAGCATGAACCCAAGAGCAGGCCGGCAAGCAACATTCCTTGGTGGTTTCTCCTGCAAGCCCTTGCTTGAGTTCTCTCCCTGATCTCCTGCAATGATGGACTCTGACCTAGGAGTTACAAGCCAGACAAACCCTTCCTTCACATAAACTGTGTGTGGGCAGTGTTTGGTCACAGCAACAGAGATTACACTTAAACAGGGTCAAATTCTCTGAGGTGTGGGCTTTGCCAGGATGGAGTGACAGGAATTGGGGCTAATGGGGACATGAAACTGTCACAACTACAGACTCATGTTCAGATATCTCCATCTGTCCCGGTTCTGGTAAGAGACCCTTACCAGAATGAATTTCCTGGCAGGAACCTGGGACCTGTGCAGAGGGCAGGACTAACAAAGAGCAGAGGAAAGAAGAGGATGTTCTCTCTAAACAAAGAACTAGAGCTGGATGGTGGAGGTGCAAGCCTTTAATCTCAGCACTTGGGGCCTGGAGAGATGGCTCAGCAGTTAAGAGCACTGGCTGCTCTTCCAAAGGACCCTGGTTCAGTTCCCAGCACCCACATGACAGCTCACAACTGTCTGTAACTCCAGTTCCCAGAACCTGGAAGACAGGGGCCAGCCTAGCCTACAGAGCAAGTTCCAGGACAGCCAGGGCTGTATAATGTGAACCTGTCTTGAAATAAATAAATAAGAACTCTTTGAGGACGTGGGCACAATTCCTAGCACCCACATGGTAGGTCACAACTGTTGGT